GAAACAGATCACAAAGAAATGCATTTGCGTCTTAATCTTTGCACTGGGTGGAGGGAGGAACAGATGTCTCCCCTGAGTGCCAGTGTCCACACAGTGTTGCCGTGTGAAGTCCAAAGGAACTTCAGGCTGGAAACCTGAAGTGGTCTCAGGTCCATAGTGTTCGCAGATGATAGCATAAGCAAATCCAAAACTTCCCAGGAAGAAGTGGCCTGCACACCAAGCCAACAAAGATCTTTAGGTACTGGAGACTAAAAGGTGACCCAGATCTCAGAGATGCTAACAAAAAAATTTTCATTTTAGAGGCTGTGGAGTATGGTAATGGCATCAAATATTTATGGCTAAAGATGAAGGGTCATTCAGTAAATGAGGATGGAAACACAGCTTAGCAACTTGGGATATTAAATAACTACCACCTAGCCTAAGGGTAGAACTGAAAATGAGAATCCTCATGAGCACTAGAAGAAAATAGAAATCTGAGACTGAGAATCACCTTTCTGGCCATGGAATTAAAAAAGTGATAGAGAAGCATTTATCTCCTGGAATAAGACAAAATGCAAAATTTCCGTACATCAAAAGGGACCCTGAATAAATTAAAGGCAAGCAAAACTAGGAAAAAATAATAGTAACCTTATTACATCCTAACAGTTTGATATGTGCATGGATTTTCTCCTTGGCCATTTTTATGCTAGTGAAAAAATTAGAAACATTAAAAAGGGGAGGAATTGAAGAAATTGTAACTCATCTATACTATAGAACATGCTTTTGAAGAAAACTTATTGGCACCAAAAAATTCTTTAAAAATGTTAAATGAAATAAAATGAATCTAAATTATAAAAAATAAAAAACGCCCAGCATGTATGTATGTGTGTTTGTATGTTGCCCAGGCTGGCCTTGAACTTCTGGGCTCAATTGGTCCTCTTACCTCAGCCCCCCAAGTACCTGGGACTTACCACAGGTGTGGGCCACTGTGCCCAGCAAAAAACACCCTTTTATCTCCCACCCTTTACTCAAGCGCACCATATTTTCATAAACTACTTACAAAACTGAAATAAATATATTTTTTCAATAATTAAAAAAACTAAGCATGCTGATTAATTCTGATCAAAATCAGATAATTATACCAAGTTTATATAACTTTAGCCAGAAGCACAAAAAATTTTACTTAGCTTGTCCTAACTAAATCCTGGGCATACATAATTTTTACTTTATTTTACTTATTTGAAATACGGAGAATAGTTCACTGTGACTAAGAAAGCCCACATTAAGAATTACTACTTTAGGCTGGTTACAGTGGCTCACACCTATAATTCCAGCACTTTGAGAGGCTGAGGCAGGCAGATTATAAAGTCAAGAGATTGAGACCATCCTGGCCAACACAGTGAAACCCCCCTCTCTACTTAAAATATAAAAATTAGCTGGGTGTGATGGCGAGCGTCTGTAGTCCCAGCTACTTGGGAGGCTGAGGCAGGAGAATAGCTCAAACCCGGGAGGTGGAGGTTGCAGTGAGCCGAAATCACACCACTGCATTCCAACCTGGTGATACAGTAAGACTTTTGTCTGTGGGGCGGGGGAAAGGGGGAGGAAATTACTACTTTAAAATGCAAGATTAAAATCTAAGAAATTGCTTTGAGATATTTACATATTAATCAAAACAACATTTAATTCATTTGTGCATTATTCTTCCTCCTCATTTCAGCTGTAATTTTGATTACGTAAAGAAAAATCAGTTTACCTAGGTATATCATATTTAGGAAAATGATGTGTTTGCTTGTTTCTTGTTCATATGAATGTAATTAGATATATTTAGAAATAGGACTTTGAAAAATATTTATTTTAGGATAAGAAGAATTTATACAAGGTTAAATTTTTATGAGTTAGAATTTTGTGAATTTCAATCTAGTTAACCCTTCTACCAAATGCCTGTTTGTTGACATAATCAAATTCTCCTTCAAAAAGGTTGCTTTTTCATCACAATGTAAATAAAGCTTAAGTCAAAAGGGTTAGCATGGAATCCTCATATTTTTGCTTTATTTGTTCAGATTTAACATAGGAGTAGTTTTTATTGGATGTAGAGAAATCATAGTATATGGGATGAATCAAATGTTGCTCTTTAATGAAGGAAAAAATTTTGGTTCCCCTATCCAATAGTAAAGCCTCTTTAAAAGTTTCTTGCCAGGCGTGGTGACTCACACCTGTAATCCCAGCACTTTGGGAGGCCAAGGCCGGCACACCACCTGAGGTCAGGAGTTTAAGATCCGCCTGGCCAACATGGTGAAATCCCGTCTGTACTAAAAATACAAAAATTAGCCAGGTGTGGTGGTGTAGGTCTGTAGTCCCAGCTAATCGGGAGGCTGAGGAGGAGAATTGCTTGAACCCGGGAGCGGAGGTTGCATGAGCCAAGATCATGCCACTGCACTTCAGCCTGGGCAACAGAGGGAGGCTCCATCTAAAAAAAAAAAAAAAGAATCTTAAAATACTCATGTGCTTTCTTTGCGCTGTTAATATCTTATACAAGTTAGAATGTTGCTCAACTTTGTAGACAGTTGAGCTTTAAAAATATTCTCCTTTAAAATGGTACAATTGGGCTGGACGTGGTAGCTCATGTCTGTAATCCCAGCACTTTGGCCGAGGCAGGAGAATTACTTAAGACCAGTAGTTCAAGACCAGCTTGGGCAATATGGCAAGACTTCATCTCTACAAAAAAGTTTAAAAAAAGAGCATGTGTCTGTAGTCCCAGCTACCCAGGAGAATGATGCAGGAGGATTGCTTGAGCCTATGAGTTTGAGGCTGCAGTGAGCTGTGATGGTTCCAGTGTACTCCATCCTGGGCGATAGAGTGAGACGTTGTCTCAAAAGAAAAGTTCAGACTGGTAAATTTTATTATGTATATTTTACCACAATAAAATCAGTGCACCAGCTGTTTTCTCTAAGAGAAATTCCCGTATTGCTATACATTTTCTCTCCTACTGTCCTCCATTCTTTCTGTGCCTTTTGTATCCCACTACTAAGAAAACTTCCCTTTATCTTAACAAACTTTTCTTTATGTTAACAGTTTCATAGTCTTCCCTCTTGTCTGCCTTAGCTGAGACTTCCACTTAAGAAACAGCGGACATCTAGATGCTCATAGTATTTCTGCCTTTACTTTTGTGATTTCAGTGCCCATATAGTCAATTACACAGTAATTGTGAACTGCTCATTTCCAGTGATTTGGTTTTTGACTGTGCCACTAGGCATTCAGTTTTCAGGTTGTACCATGGACCTTGGTATAACTGACACATAACCTCTCAAATCTGCTGATCTCACTGTCAAAGTCAGTTCCAGCTTGTTTGGCTGTACCAACCAGTACTGTACCCTGATCTCTCATATAAGCTACTGTCTTAGAGTTTTAGCTGGTCTTTCCCTTCTATTCCCTTCTTTGGGTCTTTAAGTATGATTATTACATTCTAGTTAGAATTCTTCAGAGGTTTTCCATTACTTAGAGAATGAAATGCACAAATAGCATGGTATACTTGGCCTTTCACAGTTTGCCTCTGGATTTTATCAGTTATTGTCTCATATTCTGACTTTTGTATGTTTTTATTTGGCCATATTGAAGTATTTATGTGCCTCAAACATGTCTATGTACCTAGCATAAGATGCTATTCTTACTTCTCTGTGATGCTTTGCTTTCCTTGTTATTGAGGCCGATTTAGGCAGTGGTTTCTTGTAGATTATATATACCTGAATTATATCTCTTGTCACAGTATGGTATCATTTTATATTTGTGCCCTTTTTTTTTTTGAGATGGAGTCTTGCTCCATTGCCCAGGCTGGCTGGAGTGCAGTGCAGTGGTGTGATCTTGGCTCACTGCAACCTCTGCCTCCTGGGTTCAAACAATTCTCCCGTCTCAGCCTCCCAAGTAGCTGGGATCACAGGCATGCACCACCATGCCAACTAATTTTTGTATTTTTAGTAGAGATGGTGTTTCACCTTGTTGGTCAGGCTGGTCTCAAACTCCTGACCTCAGGTGATCTACCTTGGCCTCCCAAATTGCTGGGATTACAGGTGTGAGCCACCACGCCCGGCCTTTATTTACAAAGTGAAATAGAACTAACAAACAAAACTATTATTCTAGCTTCCTAGAATCCAAAGAAGTGTTACTGGAGTCTGTATTTTTACTATTATAATTAGAAAATTTTAACATACAGAACCCATGCTGACAAAGTTAAAGTAAAACTGGTGTTGGTGACGTTTTATATTGATATAACCCTTGTGGAAAGTTTGACAGTACATGGCATTCAGAACTGAAAAATTATTTTAGTGTAATTATAAAGACAAGATAAAGAATAAAAGCCGATGTATATTTGCATGTTTATTATTATTATAATTGCATTTAAAAATGCATAGTTAGGCCACATGTGGTAGCCCACTCTTGTAATCCCAGCACTTTGAAAGGCCAAGGCAGGAAGATCACTTGAGACCAGGAATTTGAGATCAGCCTGGGCAACATAGTGAGACCTTGTCTCCATTAAATTGCATTACTGCACTTCGGCCTGGGCAACAGAGTACAGTAGTGCAGCCTGTCTCAAAGAAAAAAAAAAAAGTAAATAAGTAAATGCATAATTAAAAGATTAAGGAACTATATATTACAGTGGTAGCAGTGATTTTGTGATGTTGGAACTATGGGTGATTTCCCTTCCCTTTATAGCATTTTCTATAATGTGGTTATGTTTTACAATTTAAAATATATATAACTTAGCCAATATTTGAATTTTTAAAAAGATGTAATCCTGAATCAAAACTCTAATATAAGAGCAACTCAACCATTACATGAGTAATTTTTTCTTTCATAATGGCCTTTCAGGGTCAGAGTTGGAGGTTGCCAACTAAAAGTTACTATTGAGATAAGGTATGAGTGGCCAGCATAGAGAGTTGATCACTTAATTAAGGTTTCAGGGTTGACTTATGTAGCTGTTCTTCATAAATGTTTTGTTTTAAATGTAGTTTTGCTCTGGTTTTAAGGTACCAGTTTTTGGAAGAAGCTTTTCAAAATCAGAAAGGTGCAATTGAGAATCTACTGGCTAAACTTCTTGAGAAGAAGAATTATGTTCATTTTGCAGCTACTCAGGTGCAGAATAGGTGAGTTTGTTGCTTTAAAGCCATAATTTTATTTTAGAATTATTAAAGAGAAGTTGGTCCTGTTTAAATCTGTTTTCCTGTTAATACATTAAGCATATAAAGAGAACTTTTTTTTTTGAGGGAAAAATGATATTAATTTGGGATTATAATTGCTAATTAAGCAAAATTTAATTGACCAAACTTTTGTGTACCGTTTTAGGACACATCTTTGACTATTTTATAATTAATAAGACTCTAGTCTATGTTAAACCTTAAATTTGGAAAAATAAATAATATGGAAAGAGTTGAATTATACAATTTAAAGTGGAGATTGTGTGGAAGATACAATATAGAGAAGAGAGTATCACTGATGGACAAATTATTTCCCCACGTATAAAACAAGCATTAAAAACAGTGCTTATCTTGTGAATAGCATTATATGATACAGTTTCTTGCACATAGTAAGCACTTAGATTTTAGCTGCTGCTGTTATATTTATAATTACCATCACCATTATTTAAAAAGTATTCTATTTTGGTATATTTCTAAATAAATTTATTGGTAAGTAAGAGTAGGTTCCTTGAGAGAGCAAATTAACAAAGTTATGACACTTAAACACTAGAGAGGCAAGCACTTTGAGCTGGCATAATTAAAACTAAAATTCCTGGGGGTTATTAGGGTTAATATGTGTTTATTGTATAGACTCACAAATATTAGGACTTCTAATGAATATTTAAATTAATTTATTATTTAAATGACACATAGTAGATGCTCAAAAGTATTAAATAATTGAATGAATTAGTGAGAAAAGTACTTTACACATGGTAGAAGTTTTTGTGTTAAGAACTAACACCAAAAGAAAATAAGAAGCTCCTCAGAGCTTTTTGATTGTACACATACACATGCACGCGTACGCGCGCATGCACAATGGTGGGTTTTTGGTTTTGGTGTTTTGGAAATGTTCAGTTGTTTTAGGTTAAACTGGTGATAACGATTGATTTGAAGAGGATGACTTTTTCTCAGAAATGGTAGATGGTGTCTCTTTCAAAGGAAATATAGTCAGTTGATTCATAATGGCAGTCCCATATTTTTATACAGATGTTTTGTATGTACATTGTATTTTTTAAATACGTTTTGTATATGTCTTCCAAAACCTGTGTACAGAAGGAGAGCAGGAGGTTTACCTGTTACAAGATTGCACAGGGTTGAGGAGATTGATTTCATCTGTAGAAAGTTTTTTAAAGAACAGTGTTAAAATGTCTAACGATAACTTCGCCTTTTAGACCCATTTTTCACTGACCTATCTCCATTATTTTTTAATGTGCATTTTTTTCAAAATTGAACATGCAGTAGACTTCGTTAAGTTCAGCAGAGTCTGACTGAGGCTAACTGCTCTCTGCTTTCAGCAGAGATGCTAAATGCTAACTGATTTCTGTCTTTGGCTCAGTCATTTTACATTTGAAACCTATATTTCTTATCACTAGTTATTAGTACCTTTATATGTTTTTAAAAATATCTTCCACTCACCTTAGTAAAATAAGGACTGAACTCAAAATTTTCAAGTAAGTGCCAAATGATGTACAGAGGAGGAAAAAATTACATGATTGCTTGGAGTCTATTAAATGTACTAAATCTAAACTTGGCAAATGAAAGACAGTTTAGGACCTGAAAGCATGGTTATAGTTTTTACAGAAGTAGAATGTATAAAAACTGAAGGCTACGTGTTATGGTTAGTGGTTGACATTTTATATATTTATATTGGTGGGATTCTCCACTTCCTGTTTTGTAATTACCAACATATCAACCACTTTATATTTGCACCTAAAATTTCCATAACTGCTTTGAGTGCTTACACCTATTTCTAAAACATCTAATAGCTACTCTTAAAAATGGATTGAAAATGTTTTATGCCCTTTACTATATGCAGTAGGAAACCGCTTTGAGAGTAATTTTTGAGGGAGTATATCAGAACCCACGTTTGAAGTGGCTAAGTTATAAATGAAAATAAATGCTTCTAAGTTTAACTCTTACCCTTTCAAAAGATAATTATTGCATGTGACATTGTCCTTTTGCACATTGTTCTTGGAAAACATCAAGATTAAACAGAACCAATGTGCCGCATTGGACACTAACCAGCGGTCACTGGTGTTTGGTGTTTGTGCATCATATTTATGTCATAGTTACTTAAGGAGATTGCCATCCAGCAAAAACTGGCCTTTATGAGCATAATTTAAAATTACTAAATATTAATTTCATTCTTTGTTTGTATATATAACTTGTTTGGAACAAATTGAGTGGTCAGGTCTGCTGAAACATAAGTTGTACATTTTGACAAAGCTTTTATTTTAATTACTCGGTTAAGTGCCCAGGATGAATTTCTGTGACAGTTGATGATTCAAAGACCTAGGATAAGTTGATAACCTAATGATGCATTTCTCTTATTCAGGATAAAAGAAGTAAATGAGACTAACAAACGAGTAGAACAGGAAATTAAAGTGGCCATTTTCACCCTTATCAATGAAATTAATAAGAAAGGAAAATCTCTCTTACAGCAGCTAGAGGTATGGTTCAAAGCCAAAATAAAACAAAAACTGCTTCTCTTGCTCTTTAGCTGTTTTTAATGTTTATTGAAAACTCTTTTAGATGGGTTGGGGGGTATGGAAATAGAAAATTAAAAATAAGGTTTTTAAAATTTATTTTTGGAAAAGAGACCTTTTCTAGTTAGTTACTTGTGCAGCCCAATTTAATAACATTGACTTTAGCTGTATACCTTAGGAGATAGTGATATCCTCTTAGAAATCTAATAATTGTTACTAAGGACTAGGCACGGTGACTCACGCCTATAATCCCAACACTATGGGAGCCCAAGGCAGACAGATTGCTTCAGCCCTGGGTTCCAGACCCACCCGGGCAACATGGCGAAACCTGCCTCTACAAAAAAATAAAAAATTAGCCAGGGTGGTGGCATGTGCCTGTAGCCACAGCTACTTGGGAAGCTGAGGTGGGAGGATCGACTGAGCCCAGGAGGTCGAGACTGCAATAAGTGTGATTGTGTCACTGAACTCCAGCCTGAGCAACAGAGTACAACCCTGTCTCCAAAATGAAAAAAAAGAAAAAGAAATGTTACTAAAATGTGACGTACATGAAGGCAAAGCAGTCCCACCACATTTCTTCCCCAACCCCTTAAGATGGGGCCTCAATTTAACTTTTCCATTTAGATGCATGTTGGGCTTCTTGAGTCATTTGTGTGTTTCACCTTATTTTAAAAATATTTCCATAGTTTTGCAGAAAATGCTGCTTATTTTGAAATTTGTAAACCTTAAACTTAGCGATAATTTTGTGATATTAGGTATTTATGTTGCATATTTTGAGGTTAATTTGTAGATGTAAGTTTCTAGATGAAAATCTAGTCAGTTTGTGAAATCTAAATTTTTAATCAAAGACTCTACTGCCCATTTGATTTGTTTTTAGCAAATTTCAAATGTGAGTTTTCTGGGAAATCAAAGTTTTAGAAAGAAAAATGTTTCCTGATTACAAATTTCATGCTCTTAACTAGGCTCAGATGATAAGGGGATTATTTTTTCTGCAGCATTGAATAGTAATAATGAAATGATACATTTGACTACTTCCTTTAACTTCAAATTGTTGGTTTTTTTTTTTTTTTTTTTTTTT